AAAACAAAAAAAAAAAAAAAAAAAAAAAAAACCATCTAGTATAGCTATTGCCTTTTTTGGGATGGTACTGAGAAATGAACCCAAGGCCTTTGCATTGAACTATTCTTACTTTTTAGTTTGAGACAGGGTCTTGCTAAGTCACTACGCTCCACAGGTTGGGACTTAACTAGTGATTCTCCTGCCTCAGCCTCCCAGAGTGCTGGGGTTACAGGTGTGTGCCATCATATTACTAACCTCTTTTAATTAGGATGCACTGCATCACAGGGCAAAGGGGGAGAAGAGAGAGACAACTGCTCCTCCCCCACCAAACCACACAGATCATAGCTGGCTTCGGTTTGATTCCTCCCGCTGTTGTGCACATCCCGCTGGCTCCAAGCAGACCTGTCTGCTCCCGCAAGAGGCCACTGGCGCCCTGTCCTTCGATGGGGCAGAGGGGAAGGGCCAGGTCTCTGGGAACACACACTTCCCTCCGGCCCATGACTGCACCTTGGCCGATCTCCAGGATTGATTTAGAAACACAAGCTGCCCCCACCCATCCTGGAAACGAAATATTCTAAAAATCCAACAGCCCCAGGGCAGAGCTCCAAGGGAGAGCACACTCCTAGTTCCTGAACGGTTAGGCTGGGTCTCTCAGGCTCTCTGCCGCCTAGGCCTGTCCAGTTGAGGCCAGGCCTCCATCTCTCTCGCTCCACAGTACACAGAGGACGCAGGGGACTCCTAGTTTTGCTTTAGACACGATTTCTTTGGGCTCCACCCGTAGTATCTGCCAGCATCTTGTGTTCCCACTATGTGCCGGCTAATATACAAAAGTACTAGAGGGTCAACCTGCAAGGTCGGCGTTTCTGCCATATTTCTTTACCGTAGCACAGCAGGCATTTTTTAAAATGTGAGGGGTGAATGAGAACATAAACCCGAAAAGGTCCGGAGAGCCGGAGCTCATCTTTAACAACAAGCCCATGCGCCAGGCGGGCAGGGCGCAGAGGGGCGGGATCAGTGGAGCGGGACCGAGCGAGCCAGGCAGCCCGGCTCAGGGCAGAACCGAACCTGGGTCTTCGGCCTCCCCACGGCGCCGGCCCGGGACACTCCGGGCCCAACGTGGCACTCCGTGCGGGCTGATCCCTAAGAATCGTTAACCGCGGAGGCCGCACGCCTCAACAGCAGCATTTCAAACACTTCCTACAGGGCTGCAGAGGCCGCGCGTTTCCTTTACTTCGACTAAGCACGTTTCAACACACGTCCAAGCGGCTCTGGCAACAACGACGCGGTTTTCTTCACATTTCCACAATTTCCTGTCCGGTCAGCTGCAGGTTCGTGTCTCTGAAAATCCACAGCAACTTGTGCGCGGAAGAACTGTGTTAGGGACGGAGGGGGCGGCGGCCCCGGGCGGGCAGAGCCTCGGGCGCCGG